TTTGCAATTTGGTCTCTAGTTCCTCTGCCCCTTCGGAATCCAGCTTGTACTCCTGGGAGTTCTCGGTCCACATACTGCTGAAGCCTACCTTGTAAGATTTTGAGCATAACCTCGCTAGCGTGTGAAATGAGTGCAATTGTGCGGTAGTTGGAGCATTCTTTGGCACTGCCTTTCTTTGGGATTGGGATGTAGACTGATCTTTTCCAATCCTCTGGCCACTGTTGAGTTTTCCAAACTTACTGGCATATTGAATGTAGCACCTTAACAGCATCATCTTTTAAGATCTTAAATAGTTCAACTGGAATGTCATCACCTCCACTGGCCTTGTTGTTAGCCAGGCTTTCTAAGGCCCACTTGACTTCACTCTCCAGGATGTCTGGCTCAAGGTCAGACATCTTGGAGAGTAAATAAATAGACATTGTAAATAGACATTGTCAAAAGCAGGAGGAAAACCAGGTGAAAATCAGCAACATTTGGGGAGGTTTCTAGAAGAATAAAATAGTTGCCATCTGCAATTAAAGTTTGAGCATCAGGCCACCATCTCTAGAAGGACATTCAGGAACACCAGAGGGAAGTTGACAACCTGCTGAAATTCATAGATGGGGTCACTGGGAGGACATCTCTTGATGGTTTCTTTAAATGGACAGTTTTGTATGGCTGGAGGTGGTTCCATGTTGTTTTGGTGCTTTAAAGAGCAAAATCAGCACCATGAATGACAGCTGAAAATATACTGTCAACTCAGGCATTGCTAAAATGGTAGATCACTGTAACAAGGTTATCCTTATCCAGAAGAGATAACCTGGTGGTCCAACTAGTCTTTTCCTTCTGCAAGCTGAATCAAGAACCAGGTCTGTCTAGAGGCCCTGCATATTAGCCTTCTGGTGCTGATAGGGAGGCCAAAACTGTGCAGACCAGCCTTGGTCAGATGACTGCTCAAACTGATGCTCAGCTCATTGATGGGTTCACAAGGGAGGATGAAGCTGGACCAGCTGGCTCTGGCCAAATAGTGCTGTTGCTTTGGTTATTCACAGACAAATACAGTGGGATTAAGGCCAGAGATGAAGCTGGACTAGCTGGCTCTGGGCAAATAGGTCATAGGTGCTGTTGCTTCGGTTATACACAGACAAATACAGTGGGATTAAGGCCAGTAACTCTCTTCCCAGAATAAATTATTATGGTCATTGGAGAAGTGACTCCTAATTCCCTTTTCTGGATCCCTTGCTAGTCACAGAGGAACGTTGACTAAAGTGAGTGGGTGGGAATCTGGCCATTGACGGTATCCCTGATGGAACTATTAAGATTGCTGGTCTCAAGACTGGGACTTGGATCAGGCACCTTCCTGGGGGTTGCTCCTAAACTATAGTTCTCTGAAGTACATAGCAAGAAAATGGCAGTCATCTTTTTTAGTGGATTTCCTGGAAATAGTTTAGGCACTGTAATGACGGACAAGTTGTAAAAGCTAAATAAGTGTAAAGGCTAAAGAAATCACTGTCTAAAAGTAGTGGTAATTTCTTGTCAAAATATTGAGCTCTCCTTGATGTTGGTAACAACAGTTACCAACTTGATTCCTGATTGAATATGATCCCGATGAAGATAGCGAGGCGGCTAAATCTGCCTTGCTGTCTCTGCCCTCTAGTGGAGCTACTGTTGAAATATAGGGATCTGGAGCTTTTCTCACACAGAATTAGGATTTTCTTGGTAGTGGTTTCAGGTGTGTATCCAAAGGAGTATACCTGTGAGTAGCCACCCCAATGTGCACTTTTCAGTAGTAAACCTAGACATGTTACAGAAAAGTTAAAAATATATTCTGAAAATGGACTGAATGGACTGCCATGTTTTTCTGGCAGCTAACATCTGATCACTGTACAGATGCTCCTGTTGATAAACTCTGGGATGTATCTTGGGAATAGCTTGTGGTGTGGATGGCATTTACAGCAATCAAGTGACCAGGCAAGCTGGATACTGCAATCCATCCATCAACAGTGCTGATAATAATTAATTCCAATATACTAGCAAGACTGATGTGGTTCTCTTGGAGGAAGTAGGGTAACAATTGTAGCACAGACTTTCAGTGATAGCACCAAGCTACTGTAGTATATCTTGTACAATTTCTTTAGAGATGATTGTTGCTGATGAGGCAATTACCTTCAAGCACTTACGTTATCTGGATAAAATGGATTCTTCACCAACCCTGGAAAGCCATCTCTCCTGCTGTGACATATCTCTCACATTCCCTTTCTGTGAAAACGACCAATTACTTGGAGCTTCTGCCTGATGACCCTCTTGAGCATCAAATGGCATTACCTCCACCTGGCTTCACACTGACATCTCCCCTCTTACTGTCATCAGCTCTGTGACACTTCTTTAAATCTAGGGGAAAGCAGATGACGGGGATTATGCTTTAACCTTGCAAAGTACTTGGGGCCTTTTCTTGCTTTTTTTGAAAATACAAGACATCCACTTTGTTCTGATTTATGTCTTGCAACCTACCGTAGTTCATCACATTGCTTTTAAAACCGCAAGAAGCAGCCCAGTGAACTACTGTGGTATGTTTGGGGGCACTTAGTTTCCTATCATGCTATGTCTTGATATTCTGACAGGTGAATTGTGTTTCATTCTCTAATGACCAGCGTCCCTAATGATTGTCATAATCTCTGCCAGGATACATCTTCTTTTCAGCTGGAGCTCACATATACAAGAAGTGAGGCAATGTTTCCATCCCTCTTCCTCATTCCCTGAAGCACTCAGTTCGGAATGCTTAATCTATATTTATGTCCAGTTTAAACCAGGCGCTAGAGAAATGGCCCATTTCCTGACATCACATGTGCCGTGGTCACAGGAGAGGCCTCTAAACAAGATCAGTTAAGCCTCATAACCCCTTGAGGCCATTAAGGAAAACAGGGATTGGGTTACTGATGATGTTTAATGCCAGAAGGGCTAGAGGTCTCTAATGAGGTTGATGTTGGACACTTGGCTAATGTAAAATATAATGGCCATCATGAGGCATGTTGGTGGAAGCTGGAAAACTTGCCATCTGTTCCTCTAATTTATCAATTGACCAGAAAGGTTTTAATACTGGTACAGGCCTGCAGCTGGACTAAGGTTTCTGGTGGTGATCCGAGGTGAAGTGGTGGTGGTGATGATGGAATAACTTACATAGAAGGTTGGTCACAAGAGAAGCCGTAGTCGTGCACACTCCCCTGCTTCATTAGCACCTCCTTTTTGTTAGGCATGGGATGTATTACATGCAACTAGCTGGAGCCAAAAATACAGGTTGGACATGCAACTTTAACTGAACTGAAGAGAAAAGAAAAACAGAAATTTGATTGACCTCTGTAAACTTTTCTTTTAGTACGCAATATCACAAGCAAATACAGATTATAACAGGGGATTTTTTCTTCATCATGTACTGCATTATGGAATGACACTTTTAAATGTTCTGGCTTCCCTCCTTTTGAAAATGCAATTTCTTCCCTATCCTTTATTATCTGTTTGTTCTTATTGTTGTTTCTTGACCCTCCATAATCTTCTACCCGTAGCTTAAAATACAAAACAGTAAAAAAAAACAAAAAACAATCAGCATCTCATTGTACACCTATATATATTTAAAACAAATCAATAAAAAATACAACTGCAGACACCTATATTACTTCAGAATAAAATGGTTAACATTTTATTTCTAAAAGATTTGATGTGTTCTTAAGCTAGGAAGATAATCCCGAGGTCAGTAAATATTCCTCCCCATTGTGAGCTTCTTAGGAGCAATATTGCCAAGTTTTTGTATGGTGCAGTTCTCCTTCCCTCCATTCTGAAATCTGATGCCCCGTTATGTAAATGGCTGAAGCTTTTGAATACCAGGTGGCAGATCCTCTGGCATGTAAAGCAGCGTTTGGGGGCTACTGCGTGTTGTTTCTAACATAAATCTTGGTTAATGTTCAGTCCCTCTTATTTCCATCCTGACCCATTCTGTGTGCACTCTTGCACTTGACAGGTTGCTAGGATACTCGAAGTCTCCGAAGAGAGGAGGAGGATCATGGGAGTAAAGTCAGGCCTGGAACTTATTACCCTGCCATATGGACACCAACTGCGCCTTGACATAATTGAAAGGTAAATGTTGTTATAGCGGCCTTACCTTGCGTGCTTCACTTGAAGTATCAAGACTTGCCGTGGAAAGTCTTTGGGATTTGTTTTCGTTTTTCATACAGAAATATTCCCGGCAATTCCGCCTTTCCTCTTGCTATTTCTGTTAATAGAGTGTATGGGCTACAGATTAATAGATTACCCAGCCCTGGCTATTGTAACTATTAAAAGACTGAGTATAAATAGGAAGTACTGTAATTTTATGTAGCTGCTGAACCACAGGGCTGCTTTTTGAAAAAAAGACTGAAGAAATGAATCTTTTGGACATGGTCTCTTTTAAAGCCACAGAAAGCCGAGGTTCAGCCTGTCACCTGCATTTTTTGAAAAAAGGAGATTGACACCCGTGGACAAACTTGGGATAGCTACTGACTGTCAAAGTAGACAATACGGGGCTGGGCAGGCAAAGAATGGGAGCTGGCACCCACCCATGTCTCTGCTCTCAATTGCACAGCGCATACAGTGGACTCTCGACTTACAGATGGCTTGACTTACAGACTTTTTGAGTTACAGACTTCTCTGGCTGCAAAATTTAGATTCGACTTGCAGCTGGAGAATCGACTTACAGACCATGACTGTCAAAGTAGACAATACGGGGCTGGGCAGGCAAAGAATGGGAGCTGGCACCCACCCATGACTCTGCTCTCAATTGCACAGCGCATACCTTAGAATGCATGGCTGCCAATTAGCTCCAACAGGACCAGCTGGAAGGCCCCATCATCCCATCGGGCAGCAAGTCAGCTTCCTGCATAAAAATGAAATTTCAGGGTCATATGTCCAGTTGCAGGATTTCATCCCGAGTTAACGTTAGTATCCTCAAACGTAACTGGTTTGTGGACATGGGACGGAATATGAAAGTGTAACAAAAGAAAGTACAAGGGTAGTGAAGGAGGAAGGGCCAGAAGTTGAAGATGTTACTTTGAGGGGATGTCAGCTCCCAGTCAGCATGTCCTTTGGTCATGCTTACGGAGAGCTACAGGGAGTTGTAATTTCTCTTTAAGTGTCAGGTTTTTTTTCACACTGTTGATGATGACGAATGCATGGCTGCCAGTTAGCTCCAACAGGACCAGCTGGAAGGCCCCATCATCCCATCGGGCAGCAAGTCAGCTTCCTGCATAAAAATGAAATTTCAGGGTCATATGTCCAGTTGCAGGATTTCATCCCGAGTTAACGTTAGTATCCTCAAATGTAACTTTGGTCATGCTTACGGAGAGCTACAGAGAGTTGTAATGTCTCTTTAAGTGCCAGGTTTTTTTTCACACTGTTGATGATGACACCAAACTGATTTTTCTACAACATTCCCCTGTGCCTTGTTTGCTATTACATTACATTCACCTATTATTTTCTTCTTAATTATTTGGGCAAAAATTATTTTGGGGGAGGATTTTAGGATTTCCCCCCTCATTTTAGGAAGCGTTTTATATATTTACACCATTAAAAAAAAGAAAAGAAAAAGGAACTAAAAAGGAATGAGCGCACTAAGAGATCAGGAAAAAAATCACCTCACAAATTATGTTAATTGGGAATGGGTCGATAGAAGAGTTGAGTAACCGTAACAGTGTAACAATAAGTTCCCAATCTACTGCTTCATGGGTCATTTCTACAGATAACTCCAGGAATCTTAGAGCAAAGTGTCTCTTCAGGGGTACTGAAAGCCTCTTTTTCAGCTCACAAAATAATCATAAAGGTCTGCATTGAAAACTCCTAGGACTCCACCCGACCCACCACACACATTGCATGCAGCAATTGTGAGTGTTTCAGCCAGTCGTGTGGTTGTCATGGTTTCCTGCTCTGCACTGGAGAAAAACCTGTGGCGTGGAACAATCTGACTGCTAACCGCTTGCCCTTCTCTTGCCAAGCAACGAAATGACCCACTCTTGGCCTGGCCTATTGTGACCGTCCTCTTCAAACATCCTTGCCAGTCCTGGTGCCTCGGCTGCCAGCAGGAAGGCTGGCGGCTTCTTTCCTCCCAGGCCCTTTCCAGCTGAGCTGAAATGCTTTTGTTAACTTGCCATTCTTGGACATCTGCATTAGCTGCCTTTCCTTCGGTTTTCTTGGTCCTAGAGGATAATTCTTCAGGGGTGGCCAGCAGCAATCCGGGGACTGTCAAAGTAATTGTCAGGCATCCATATTATGGGCTCTGTATGTTCCTCACTTTCAGCCAGAGCTTGTTTAAACTGCTCCTCCTTCCTCAACTGAGAGGAAAGCTGGTCAGCCTGAGGGCTGCTTATTTCTCCTAGTGGAACAACAAATCCTGCCTTTTCATGATCTGAAGCTACCTGTATAAATGTGGAGCCTTCCTCATTCACAGAGGTCTGTTGCACATTGTACTGTGGGACACAGTTGTGGTGGTGGGGACACCATAGCATTTTGACATGATTTCTTGTGTAGCCTGTTAGATAGTAATTCATCTCTTTTGATTCAGTAAAATGTAGCTGTTAACTGGGCAGTATAGGCAGGTAGGTAGGATCTGGATTTAATCATACCCAGACATACCTGTTAGCGTGGATGTTTGCATGCACATGCATGCATGTGCCTATATCTGTACAGTATATGCATACAGTACGTATGTATGTACACAATGTGTATCATCTAAAAATAGAGAACACTGTTTCCCAAAGCTGTATGTAAAGAAATGCTAATATAATCAATCTCTTATCAATTAAAAAAAAACAACCTCAAACCATTCACTTCCTCAATCAGCAGTTTTCAGAGGCAGCTGTATTCACCCATTTGAACAAGTACAGCAAATAAATCCAAATAAATAAATCCAAATAAAACCCCAAGTCCAGTGGCACCTTTGAGACAAGTGTATTTATTTAAGTGTAAGCTTTTGTAACTTGCAGTCCATTTTCCCCTGAGGAAGTTCATTCTGTTTCATGAAAGCTCACACTGAGACAAATCTGCTGCTTTTAAAAAGTTACTTCAGCACTAGTTCTGTTTTGTTATGGTTTTGTTACACTTCAGTAATCAAGTGAAAGTGCTAAATTGCTCTCTCTGTGTGGGGGTGGGGTGGGTGGGTGGTTATTTGATAATGTGTTTGTATGTCCACTCAACATTCTTGCACTTAGCCTGGCAAGGGCATATCTTTTCTGCAGAATATTGTATTTTTCCATGTATAAGATGCCCCCCCACTTTTCTAATCCAAAATTAAGAAATCTAAGTGGGGCTTAGTAAATGTAGGGGGGAAAGGATAAAAGCCCTGCAGGATCACTATGATCCCTGCTTTTCCCCTCCACTTGTTTTTGTTCTCTCCTCAGCTTACTTCCGTGTATAAAACGACCCTCAATTTTTAGTGTGGACTGCAGCCTCTCATGGCTCTCTTGACAATGGGCGCTCCTTCATACACTAATCCAGTCCTGTGTGGACTACAGCCTCTCATGGCTCTCTTGACAATGGGCACTGATCATCCCTGGTTTGTTTCCCTGTTTAGGCACAATACGATGGCAATAGGAATCGCTGTGGATATCCTTGGCTGCACAGGAAACTTAGAAGAGCGTGTTGCAACCTTGAACAGGATCATCCAGGTTGCAGTTGAACTTAAGGACTCCATGGGTGATCTGTATGCCTTCTCAGCTATAATGAAAGCTCTGGAAATGCCTCAGGTAAAAGGACGTCCCTATATACTAGGGCATGCAGGATGATTAGTGTTATCATCATATACATATGCCATTGCTTTTGGTTTAGATTAAACTTCCACCATACCTTACAGTGAGCACACAGCTTAATAATGTAAAAGCCGTATTGACCATCATAAAGCAAAACGCTTTTGTGTATTTTGTACTGTATTGCTGCCACGGTAGAGTTGCTTGACAGACTTGGAAAACAACTAGTTCAATCAGGTGAGCATTCTGGAGAATGTGTTCGAGACTTGGAAAACAACTAGTTCATCTGCAGTGAAATGGACATAAAACATCGAATCAGGTGAGCATTCTGGAGAATGTGTTCCACAAGTGCGATGTCACAATTGAGAAGGCCCTTTCCCCAAAGAGAATGACGGTGAACATGACATTGCTGGGTCAAGAAGAACGGAGTACTGTGAGGACAGAGATGGTCCGGTGCATGACTGGCTTAATCGCAAAACATAAGCCATTGCTTGGGTGCGCCACATCGAAAGGAGTGGTGGGCTGCCCAGTCTAGCTAGTCTAAGAAATAAAAAAACCTTGCTGATCACTTCACATGTAGGTGGCATTCTCTCAGGAGAGAAGCCGCATCTTTCTTTGTCATGGGGAAAGATCACATGAGAGCTATTTCCCCTATAGATCACAAGACTGGAGCAAACATGGACTACTCTGAGGCACTGCTACACCCAGACAGCTATTATGTACGAGAAGCAACTTAAACCATTCAGCAAAGCCTTGCACGAAGGACGAGGTGAGTGGGCCTGCCATTGCAGGCAGCTGTGTCAAATTTGTCATCCTCATTGAGGAAACCTCATTAAGCCCTGAGGTCACATCTGTCATTTCATTAATGGAGAGTGAGGAAGCAAGTCGAGCCCTATCAGTTAGAATAATGGGCAGAATCCATTAGCCATAACCACATCCTGCTTTTCTCATGGTTCATTTTCATTCCCCAGTGGGAAAAAATGCAGAAGGGGCAATATTTTTAATTCCCTTTCACTGTTCATCAAAGCACATTGCAGTGGAGAATATGAACACTTATAATGGCTTATGCACATGAAGAAAGAGCTACAGGGGGATTGTTGCCCCCCCCCTTTCTGGATATAGTGAATCGTTCCCATTGAATGATCCTCCCAGTTTCCCCGTTCTTAGAACTGGACAAAACAGTTTCTGTCTAGAAGAGACCTAGGTCCCTGTTCTCTTTGTTCCACTGGCCAAAAGAATAAAGCTAAGGAGTGGAGAATCTTTGCTCATTCAGATATTTTGGGTTCCCAGTCCCATTTCTCTTGCCATTAAGTCGGGCTGGTTGGGACAGGAGAGAATTGTAGGCCAAAACATCTGGAAGGCCAAAGATGGCCCATTCCTGACATAAGGCATGCTTATGGAAAAGAGGAAGAATCACAGCAAGCACTGTCCACACCTCCTGGTGTGCTGGCAGAAGAGGCAGCAGTATTATAGTACTCTTATTGTCAAGCACAGCATCTTTGGGCTTGTGTATCAGGAACACGAGAAACTTGTTTCACTGGAACAATCTGGTTTCCGTTTCTAAATGTGTTTATGATCAAACGTAACGCCTTCCACCCCCTTCTTCGCAGAAACCATGTGTGTTCCACAAAACATTGTCACGGTGCCCTTGCTGATGCCACTAGTTACTCTGCTGGAACGGCAGGCCGTGGTTTTTGATGGGATGGACATGTGGGAGAACACCGACCAAAGCTGTGAAATCATGCTAAAGCACTTGGCAACAGCTCGTTTGATAGCGCAAAATGCCGACACCTACAGCACGAATGCAGAAAGGATACTCGCAGGTAAGAAGGAAGAGTCTGGATCACGGGCACTCCTGTAAGACTATTGTGTTCCATAAAAGGGGTGCAGATCTTGGCCATGAATAGTAAACCCTAGTCCTAGAATGTAGGGCTGCTTCTCTGCTCTCCCCCTTCCCCTTTAGGCCTCGCTGTGTACATTGGTGGTAGGGAATGGATACACATCAGATGCAGTTCTGCCTGCTACGTATGCGAGAAGCTTCGTTTATGCCTCTTTTCCCTGACAAACCTCTGAACAGGAACTAGACAGTCAATGATACATATTAAAGAGGGTGTCTGCTCTTCCTAGGTACTTGTGATGATTCATTTCTTGTGAAGTACCACAGTCAGGGCCATCTGCTATACCAAGTCATAGTACAGCAGGGCATCATATGGCTCTGACTAGCACTGTGCTTTGAAAGCAATGCGGTTCAGTTTTCAACAATAATCACAGAGAAGGCACTGTCCAGATTTTGCTTTTCTTATTTAAAATATTAATAAAATTGTTAACGGCTGCAAAACATAACGCTGCCTCAACCATGGAGAAGTGACTTGGAGCGACAAAGATGTCTCTTGTGACATCCATAGCACTGCCAGGCCTGCTGCAGCCTGTGACTTTGGGTGTGTGTGTGTGTGTCATTGCCTCACATCCCCTTGGGAGGTGGCAGGCAGTGCTCTCCCTACCACACTCAAGAGTGCTGGTTTCATGGTGGGCCCTTGCTGCAGCCAAAACCTCCTGGCAGGAATCCACACAAGTGCTGCTAGTGCAATTTCCTCATTAACTTGGAGAGATGAAAACAGCAGCTGCAAGTGGGGAATGGGTGAGATTAAATGTTCCATCTGTGCTTCTTTGGGCCCTCTCTGGAGGGAGGAATAATCATGCGACACCGCTCGCTTCGCCCAGAACCTAACCTGGTGTTGGATTCTACCTCCTGACGCAGCAGATTACCACAGATGCTTGTTTTTCTTGGGGAAAGGGATATTTGATAGTAAAACGTGCACATTTCTCTTTTCCATTTCAGGTTTTCAGCCAGATGATGAGATGAATGAGATCTTCAAAACAGAGTTTCAGATGAGATTGCTTTGGGGCAGTAAAGGAGCACAGGTTAACCAAAGTGAACGATACGAGAAATTCAACCAGATTTTAACTGCTCTATCTCGAAAATTAGAACCCCCGCTAACAAAGCAGACTGACTAGAAAGAAACCTGATGGATTCCCATATACAAGACTGATTCAATTATCAAAGAGAAAACAGGTTATAAATTTGGCAGTGCCAAATATTTGCCCCCCCCCTTTGACAAGTGAATGCTTTTGATACCAAGGGAAGCAGTTTCCTGGACAAAATGCTTTTTCCAGGAGTATTTCCTGCCTGCTATCCCACATATATCTTCTTCATCTGCTGCTAGTTTGGTAGATTTTAAAAAACTGGTCTTTTTCCTATGGAAAGTGATCCTAGGATATACATAACCAGTTGAGAATAAGGGCAGTGCTTCTTAGAACTTAATAAACAGACACTTCCATGCACTTTGAAATGAGATTTTGTGCCACTGCCAGAATTTTTTCCAAGAACAACCCTGCTTCCTCAGAACCAAGATTTGTAAATTATGTGCATTTATTTATGAACTATGTCATGACAACTGGAATCATTATTTATTTCTTATTGATGTTATCTTTCATGATCACTGAAGATATTGTCCACTATGTAAAGTATTGCTGATGGTGGTTTTATTAGATCATTTTTAGTCTTACATCCAATAATGTAATTAACAAATTGTACTGTAGATATGGGTAACAATTTAAAAGCATGGATTTGTGGCAGGTATCAGTTGTATGATATCCTTGAAATCGATACGGAAAACTGTATATTCACTTATGAATTAAAGTGTATCTTGGAAATATTTTTTTATTTCATTGCCAGAGTGGAATGTAAAAAGATAAAATAATTTTACGACCCAAGATGTCCTTGGCTGAACTTTGCTCCCTGATTATTCTTTCTGTTCACTAATACATTTAAATGACACTATTGATCAACTACGGCCCGCTGGCCTCATCTTCAGTTCTTCCCTCTTCTTTGTTTAGTACCAAGTCTTGCCCTATTACGTTTGCTAAAATTCTGCTTAATTTTTCTTCTCCTTCCCCCCACCTGGTCTATTGCCATCATTTTCTCTGTAGCCTTTCCTTGGTCATCCTCTGTCATAAGAACTTAAAAGCTGTGCAGGATCAGTCCCATCTCACACAGCCAAAGGGATACCCTTGGGTAGCACAGAAACAGGGGAGGACATCAGCGCTATAGCATGCTTCAGCCTGTGTTCCCCAACCACTAGCAAACAGATGCGTGCTGCCTCTGCTGCTCAAGACAGGGTATAACAATCATGAGTAGCAACTGTTTCTAGCCTCACACTCCATAAATATGTCTTCAAAGCTGTTATTAAATCTTGTGGGACTACATGAAATATTATCTTTCTCAAAAAACAAAACTGCTGGACAATGGAGTCAGACCACTGATTCATCTAGTCCACTGGTTCTTAACCTTGGGTTACTTAGGAGTTTTGGACTGCAACTCCCAGAAGCCTTCACCACCAGCTGTCCTGACTGGGGTTTCTGAGAGTTGCAGTTCAAAAGCATCCGAGTAACAAAGGTTAAGAACCACTGATCTAGTCCAGTGGTTCCCAACCTTGGGTAATCCAGATGTTCTTGGATTGTGACTCCCAGAAATCCTAGCCAGCACAGCTGGTAATAAAGGCTTCTGGGAATTGCAGTCCAAGAAACTTATGACTACTCAAGGTTGGGAACCATTGACTTGTCTCTTCTAACTGGTAATAGCTCTCCTGGATTTCAAGTATGAATCTTGTCTAGCATGGTCTGGAGACCCTGTTGGTCTCCCATCTAAGTATAAAGTAGAGCAATGTAGCTTCCAAATCAAACAAGACTGGGTACGTTGAGGGTGCCACAGTGGTCCACATTTGTTACCCATAACAGACTTCATTCAGACCATGTTACATTTCTCTCCTCACATCCCTTCATGATTTCCTTTCTCATCTGCACTTGACATAGAACACGACAAACATGACTGGGAATTTAAATGGTTACTTTGGATGATGTACTATAAAACACCAAGCACACTGTTGACATGTGGCCCTGATGCCTCACTGGGAACAGCAGGCATCCACTTCCTGATTTGTTTTTTTTTCCTCTCTCTCTCTTGGCAAGTACAGCACTTTCTTTTCTAAATTAATAAAAGGCTTTGTTTGGTATTAATATGTAGATTTTGTCCCCATGACAACACAAAGCTTTAACAGCTCTCTCCCTCCAAACCAGTTGCTGCTATTAGCACAGATGTGATAACAGCCTTGAAAGATAAACCATGCCCCAAAATATCACATCACAGCAGAGTGAATGAATGGTTTCACTGCTGGCACTGTCACAATCACTAGTAAGCTAGCTTGCTGTGTTCTTTCCTATAATAGACATTCTGGGCAGAAGATGCGAGGAAAACATGGATAGATCCCTTACAAATAAAGGTATCAATTGTGCATTATTCTACAATATGATAATTAGAAAGGAACTGTTTTAGACCCTTCCACCCATACAACAGAACAAAAGCAATAATACTGAATACAGAGACCAACAGGGCTTCTCTATCACATTATAATATTTTACCCCCTACTCACTTAAGGTAGCAGGCAGATACATTTACTAACCATAGATAAAACAGATTTCTTGTCTATACATTTCACGCTGCTGTGTTTTTTTAAGCAAGTCAATTTCTCTTAATGTGTAGAAATTAGCTGATTTTCAATGTGGGTTGTTAAAAAACAATAAGTAATTGTAAGTGCTGTGTCCATTCAGGGTTCTTTTGGAGTCAAAGAAATATGTCTTGTCTTCCCATCTGAAGATCTATCTAACAATGAAAAAAAATCCATCACTGACTAGGAAAAGGGAACACATCTATTTTCCTGCCTGCACACTGGAAGTCACGGTGATGAGCATGGCATGAATCCCAAGACAGACCAAACAAGCAAACTTAATAAAAGGTCCTTAAACCCACCATGGCTTACTGCCCACAATTTCTGATCTGACCAGCCAGCTGGAAAGTGGAACATTCTACTCCAATAAAATACTAAAGCAGAACAATGGCAGTTTTTTAAAAGGCTTTTGCATCTACAGCTTAGTGCATTTTTAATCAGTTCCAAGCAGGCTTTCCCGTCAACATAATCTACAGCTTCACAATTAGGAATTTACACGTTTTAGCACCACTTTTAGTTTTCATTTTGAAAATACAAACCTATGGTCTCAGCGTACCAGAGAGAGTTTGGGCTAGGAAACCAAAAGAAATGGGAGAAAGAAGAATACTGACCTAGGAAAGTAAGAGTTGTGCCCATCTGTCTTTAACCCAGGGAAAGACAAAGCACCATCTTGGATATGGTCTTAAACTGGAATACCTATCAGCTCTCCCCAAGACAGCCAGTGGTGCAAGACACTGGGAGCTGCTCTGTGATGACATCAGAAGGCCTGTACTTTGCCCAGCCCTACAAAGTTTGCCCAGACTTTAACTCTGCAATTTAGACAGCTTTTGAGGGACAGGTTAAAGATATTTGCTGTGGGTGAGAAGCCAGTCAAGAGAAAAATCAAAGAGGAAGAAGCCGAGAGAGTGAAAAATGTTGACATATACAGTGGTGCCTCGCAAGACGGGCACTCCGTTTAACAATGAATCCGCATTACGAGGTTTTTGCGATTGCAAAACATTTTGAACGGGGGAATTTCACTGTGCGATGATCGGTTCCCGAAACAGGGAACCGATTTTCGCTTCCTGACGATCAAAACAGCTGATCGCCGGGTTTTCAAAATGGCCGCTGGGTGCTCAAAATGGCTCCCCGCACAGGCACCCAAAAATGGCCACCCCTATGGAGGATCTTCGCTGGACTGTGAGTTCTTAGCCGATTGGAACGCATTAACCAGGTTTTAATGTGTTTCAATGGCTTTTTAATTTTTGCTTTACGTTTTCGTTCTACAGCGATTTCGCTGGAACGAATTAACGTAATGCGAGGCACCACTGTACAGTAGTACCATCTTAATACATCCTTCTCTGTTCTCCTTATAGATGTATCATTTACGGGTTATTCAAAAGGATAATAGTAGAAACTGAGCTAAAATCAGGTACAGTAGGACCCCTATATCTGCTGGGGATTGGTTCGATGATCCTCCATGGATAATGAAAAACGTGGATAATGATTAATGTTACTGTATATTTATTCTACAATAACAAGTATTCATAGCACAGTATCTGGCTTCATCTGGTGGCCTGTTATGGTAATACAGGTGAAAATAAATTTTTCTGGATCTTTTTCTTTTAATATTTCTAACATTTTCAGACTGTGGATAAGTGAAACTGTGGATACAGTAGAATATGGGGTCCTACTGTATTACTAAAGGCTCCTTGCCTCCAAATTCATTGCACCCTCTGACTAACTTGTACAACATACTGTACGAAGAAAGTCGAGGTGGAATTGGATTAAGGGTCAAACACTGTAAAGTGCCTAGCTATGTAAATGAAGCATTCAGGTAACTCCAAGGATTAAATTTGTCACCAAGAATTGCATCTGCTTGTGTGAACAGGGCTTGCTAGCAGTAAAAACAAAACAAAGCATTCATGTCTTGCTGACATGCTTTCTCCCCCCCTTCCCCCAATTCAAGTGCATTTGTGTTTTTAAAAGGTCCCTCAACCCACCTATTCCTTGGTCTGCAACAGAAGACAACTAGAAAATTATCAGGGCCATGAAAAGATTGTTTAATTCCATGAAAATATTCTCAGGAGAACCACTATTTCCTTTTAACAAAGCATTTAAACATTTAAAAATCAACACGTGCACAAAAGATTAAAAATTACTGGAAAGTTTAAAGATTCAAGACAATTCATCATGTTCAAAATTTCAGACTAACAATTTTAGCTACTTGTGCAAGTACAAAGATTTTTTATTTCCCTTTGTATTTAATAACCCTCATCAAGGTTGCATTGTACCACAGAAAGAAAATCTTCTGAGGAAATAAATCCTCATCCTAAAAAAAAACAGTAGCATGAAAGAACTGTTAGTCCTTTACAAGAAGTGTTAAAACAAGACCATGAGGTTATTAGGCAAAATCCACAGGGGTCTTGGCTGAAAATAATATTGAGAATATACTGTCAACTGTAACTTTGAAATAATAAAGATTACTAAACTGTTCTTTTAAAAAGCAATAATCCATGTAGTTTGTCAGTAATGAGTAAGGTCACATTATATAAATAACCCTGTTCACAATGTCCAAAAAAATCTAACCTTTAGTATTTAAACCCACCCCACCCCATGTAAATACACTATGTCTGTGTAATAAGTGGGACACTTAATAACAAAAGGAAGAAAACTTCCACACAACAGTCACACAGATTTAGTTTTACTGGTAGTACAATTGCTAATAACACTGAAAAAAGACTCCTAAAAGAATCCAGCACTGCTGTGTCCAAATATTGCTTCAACTCCCATCCCTAGAAAACCAGATTTGTTTAAAATATTACCACACACAGCAAAAAGCTAGTTTCATGAAGCTGGACTTCCCTCCCTCCTATTCCCCCTACAGGCTAAGATTAGATGCTTGATGACTTCATTAACAGAACTCACAAATGGCAGACAAAACAACATGAGCAATATGGAATGCTGCAGACAACTATATTTACATGTATAAACATTTCCAAATCTCAATGTTTACAAGTAAAAGTGCACATAGATCATTACAAAGGTATCATTCCAATTTTCAGCTGGTCCTCACAATGAAGCATCACTTGGAAACAGACTAGCACTGCAGTTAATTAGAAACTGGAGTCTTCCCCCACCCCCAACTCAATTTTTTTTAAAAAAAAATTAAAAAGAGACAACTGAGGAATAAAACAACCTCCATAAAAATCCTATTTAAAACATTCATTAGACATAAAACGAAAGTGATACATGTATTTCGTTTTTGATGCAAAATGTTTACAATGCACCATGTGTCGCATTGTGGCAGAGCTCTAGAGAACATCGGCCCCTGGCTACAAGCCGCTGCAGCACCGTAGAAAGATTCAGGAGGTCGTATGGAGCTGCGGCCCAAAAGCCCTTTGTGGGATACTGAAGCGGTAGTGTTGGCAATCGACAGATTTAGGCACTCGAGAGTTTAAGGCAGCATCTGAATGGTAAGCACTTGATGTCTGGAAACAGTCGTTTGTCTTGCAGTGGAAAAAAAAACTGTGCTGTTCTCCTGGTTTTTCAGTGCTCATAAGAAGTTGCTGAGGTGCTGAAGACAGGCTGCAGTTCCCTAGTGCTGAGGTGTGTTCCTTTTCCCAAATCAAAATGAATGCTAAGTTCACATCAGTTATAATGCCAAAGAACTGGAATGTAATGACGGTTGTGTAATGAAGAAAGGGGAGAAAAAAAACATTATAGCAGCATAAAATGGGTACTGAAATAAAAAAACATTAGTGCTAGAGATATACATACATAAAGTGTATTTGCTACAAATGCAGAAGAGGAGGAAGAGTTATGGAAACACAAAAGATGAGGCAGGCATGCCTGACACATAGCTAGACGTGCAGGAGGAGGTTAGGGCGAGCATGGAGGTGGCACAGGCAGAGACTGTAATGACAGGGTCTTGTCTGAATGCCCGTTTAAATTGGCACAGAAAACGAGACAGCCAAAAACAGCTAAGGGACAACGCAACTGGGTGAACAGTGGATAGGAATTTTTTAGACCATGAAAAGGATGTGATTTCTGATTGGGTGGCTTGGTTCTGTTGGAATGGCACTTAAGTTTACCGTAACTATTTTGACCACATACAAAAATGCCAACTTTGTTAGTGAGAAATGGACGCCGGCATGCCTTCATGCAACTGGCTCCCCACCCCAAAAAAGCCCATTTTGCTGGACCTACTAATCCCCCCCCAAAAAAAGCAGCTGCATGTAACCTCCTTCAACATCTCGCCCATTTTCTCAGAAACCCGCTTCAGGAACCTGCAGTCCAGAAGGAAAAAAAGAGAAGAAGAGAATTACCAGAAGCATTTGAAAAGACAGACGCGTACTCATTTTTAAAAACCCATCTCAGATGGTTACAGAATAAACCCGCCTTTCGAGGGGCCTTTTCAAGCTTTCGCTACATCCTGCTATTCAGACTGCAGTTTGTTCAGTAGTGAACTGGTGCAACTCAGGTTCCTAGTTTGACTTTCTGAACATGTGGTTTCCAGACAAGGTAACAGCATTTCAAAAGCATTCTCATTAGCCACATCATCTCATACATTGACACCTTAACTAACTGAACTACTCCAGGCACTAGGGCTTGAGTGACCATACAAAGATGTTCCACTTATCCATTCATTTTAACAGAAGTTGCCAATCTGCACCTACATTCCTTCCTATATGCAGACTGGCTCCTTCTGTTGGAATGAATGGGGAAGCTGGAAGACCTGTGTGCACGCAGCATTTTCAGCTCCTCTAGAAGAAGCTTTTTAGAAGGAGAGATTCAGCAGTTGCATTTTAGAAACAAACAAAAAATCCTGATAACAGATCCAAGGGAAAAGAAATCAGTTCAAATTCACAGCATTATTAAAACTCTGTAACAAAAGAGAAGAGGGGGAGAGGGGGCAGACAACCACATCGTGTGCCTCCTGAATCCCCTATAACCGATTGTTTAGACTTCCTCATTACTGTATCTTCTGCATTGATCATTTCAGTGAGGAAGAAAAATTTCCCACATAAAAACTGCAAAAAATGTATTTACATAAATATTAACTGCAACCTCCACGGTCCGGTTATGTGCAGGTAGTGGGTTTGCACACTGGCAGCAGAATTCCACCACCACCCCATTTTCCCATCTGCATAAGAACACACTGCATAAGACTGCAAACTCCTTTGCTAAAATCAATGTGATGCAGCAATGGGCGCGGAAAGAAGAAGAGGGCCTGTCCTTGAGAAATTGATCCACTTCAATGGAGTAGGACCATGTTCACTTAACTTAGTTTTGCTGCTGGTTACACACTTGAACAGGTAGGTTCTTGTTGGCCTGGAGTCAGCACACTAATACAATAAAACCAATAATCTAAAAAAACATTAACTACCATTTAAAATCATCCAGCAAGCAGAAAGCTTTACAAAAACTAAGAGCAAGGCAACCAATCAAATATGGTAACTGGGCTACTGACTGGAAGACCATACTTAAAACCTGTTAAGCAGAGAAAGGCAGAACGAGAAATAAGTCAGGCACAGCCAATAAACTTTAGAACAATCAAGCTGACTCAGAGATATTATTCCAGTATCACATTGGGCTCACATGGTGAACAACAGATTCAAAGTTCTCCTAAATGTGCTAACCCTCTTCCATCCAGGACTGATCAAAGAATGTTCGCTGGTAAGCTGTGTTGGATGGGAGATTTAGATATAGGTTACTGCACCTTTACTGTTTTTCTCTAGAGTTACATCTATGTAGGAAGTTGGCACGTATCCTTCTTCTCCATTTTGCCTGCGAGCTCTTGTCCATCCATCCCCTTTGTCTTCCTCTATAATGTACAGAACCTCTCCTTCTTTCATTGCTAAGGTACCTTCATTGGGACCTAGTGGGGAAGGGAAGATAAAAAGAGATCATTGCCATGCAGGATTTGAAAACAAACTTCCACAGCATTTATTTTTCCATTCACAAGAGGAAACGAGAAGTCTGTGCAATGGAACATATGTTCCCAATGTAACCCAGGAGACAAAAAATCTGGTCATTTGCTGTACAGCTGAATGCATGCCAGTAACTGTTTCTCTAATTGAACATATTTGTTTTGTTACAATGAAGAAGTATTATTTTGCCATTAAACAGAAAGTAGTTTACAGCAGGAGTACCTTGAATTTAAAGCCAGCTGTTAGAACAGTTTATAAGTAGATAATTATATTTAGATAAGACAGAAAGCAGCTGCCTAACACTAACTCACTCTCTCTCTCTCTCTCTCACTCACTCACTCACACACACACAGAGAGAGAGAGAGAGAGAGAGAGAGAGAGAGAGAGAGAAAACACATCTAGCTTACTTTAACCTTACCATCAAATGGATAAATTGCTTTGCAGTGTCCTATAGCTGGCAAAGGATCATCATCTTCAAACTCATCATCAAATTCATTATGGGGGCCATGTTGCTGTGGCGGGCTTCGAACTTCTTGGTTTGCATCATCGGTGTAGCTCCCCTCTGGGCTATAATGAAAGAGTTAACATGGAAATCTTTACATCTTCTTAAACCAAGAGTCTCAAGGACTTCCAAAATATATATTTTTAAAGTCCCCATGTTTGTTTCATGGATATACCATGATGGGCAAAGCTGCAATAGGAGGGCACAACCAACAGTAGTTTGAGGGATGGCAATGGCAACCCCATTGGCAGGAAGCTGCTCACTTTCAGAGGCATCTGAAAGAGGTTGAAAGCATTTTGGATATAATGCCGAGAGGATCAGAGAAGGCCACCATTTTTTATATACATAACATTTCTTCCTTCCGAATATTACTTTTGTTTATTGAGATATTTCACTAAAATACCTTTATACTATTCTTTAACAGTTTACAATGCGGGTGATATACAGTAAATCAAGAGAAAATTCATGCCATATTCCAAGTTAAAACCAACCAATATACACATTCCCGAGCTTGTGGGGAGGGAATTTGGTCCACATTACAAGGGTTTGACATTGCTTCCCTTCCTAGGGGCAAAGCTTCTTTTATCAGGAGGTTCCAGAAGCCTTGGCCCTCACTCTTTGAGACAGTCTTTCTTGCAAAGATGGTGATTCTGCAGAAAGATTCTCCTGGAAAATTTGCCTCAGTGGGAGAAAGATAGGATGGCTCACCCAAAGAGAAATGCATCCTTCTGTTGATGTACAGAAAAGATGTTGCATGAGAGATGGCTGTGAAGACAACATCAAAAATAGATTTCCTGTCTTAACTGGAACAACATGCTATCTTCAACTCTAACAACTACGACTATTTTTGTACAGTGCAATAGCAAGATTACTGGGAAACAAAGTTAAGACCAACAAAGGATAGCAATGCAGGGAACCAAATGGAAACATGGTTCTTAGACATTTTGAGTGAAAGGTGCAGATCTTCTGATTACTCAGATCGATTCAGTAACAAGTTCTTTTTTTCCCCTGAAGGAAACTTTAATATAAAACCATAGCACTTCAGTAAAAAAAAAACTTGTACTGTACTGACCTCTCTCTTCCTTGAGTTACAAGGTGGTTAATGTCACTGCTGTGTCTTCGGTCTCCCCTTGCGGCTACTTTCCCTTCAACTTCAGAAAGCCAGGCCTTGAGAGACAGCAGGAAAAGGAAGTGGTCAGTTGGCACAGAACAAAAGAGTTCAGTCTGAGCCAGAGTTTAGCTGCCACTAGATCTGTCACGGGCAGAAGTAGGAACAGGATCTCCTGCTGTTGACAGTAAATCAACAAGGAATTTGTTCTCAAATTGTTTAATCACCTTCAAAGACTATTTTTAAAAAGTTGTTGTTGCTGCTGCTGCTATAATAAAAAACAAATTGGGAGCAATAACAGCAGTGATAACCCTGAAATTATGTTGCTATAATGAAAAAAGAACTGATAGAATTTTTTGCCCTAGAAATCTCAGCTGAACTCATGCCTTGTGCTCAGAACACATAACTAGGCTCAGAGTTCTTTCATTTTAAGTCTCTGTCTTTTGCACCAGTCTCTGGTAGTTGGATATTGGGTTTCTAGCCAAACTGCAATGGACTCCAGGGCTTAGAGCTACCAAGCCCCTGACATGATGTAGTCACAGGAATTCAATGTATCTTCACTCTCAAGTTATCTAAGACATGGTACCGCATAGCTTAACTGTTCCAGAACCAGGTGCCTTGCTATGTAAATTTATTATTGGAACTGCTAATTTCAAAAGGACACTGCAAGTCACCAGGATGTAAAGAGCCTGTTCAACTCTAACTGTTCTGTAGGTCTCTCCATTCTTTTAGTTAATTGAGATGATCCAGTCTATTCCTTATTCAGTTACCAACCAGGCCATTCTATCACAGATGACATTGTAAAACGGTATCTGTCAAAATATTTCCAAACCAATGTTCTTTCAACTGCTCTGTAGGAAAAAAACAAATATGCACACACACACTTCTTCCTTCAGTGTGGGCCTTGGACATCTTTAGAACAACATCCTATAGGCAAAGTCTACTATGATTTTCACCAAAACAGCTAAAAATTGGACACTTGCAAACTGCGGTCCCCTCTCTCCCCCATGCGCATATCACTTTCAGTAATATCCTTTGGCACTTTGAGGAAATGCCTATCAAGGGGGTCTCTGACACACACACCCCAACCCTCTAGCGAAACATCATGAAGTAGAAAAGATTAACCTCATTTTTGTGAATTTCCATTCGGAGACGGTCCATGTTGCTCATAGTCTCAGCCAATTTGGGTTGAAGACTGCTTGGATCACCCATTTGTGGATTTTTTTCATACACATCTTTCATTTTAATGAGTGCATCTCTACAGTAAAAACAGGTCACATATTTTTAGACAGATGAGAATTGTGAAATACTTAATTCTTGCATTAGAAAAATCAGTAAGTCTCAAATCCTATTTTCTACCGTATATACTGGGAGGAAGGGACAACATGCACATTGTTAGTGAAGAGGACGTATCTAAAACATACATATTTAAGGGCATAACCTCCAACACAGATAAAAATCTAAAGACAAATTGATATTAAATCATCATGTGCCATCAAGTCAATTCTGACTTATGGTGATCCTTTCCCAGAGTTTTCTAGGTAGAGGGTACTCAAAAGTTGTTTACCATCCCCTTCTTTGGAGGGCACCCAAGCTGGCTTTTCTCCCAGGAGGCACAGTGGGGAATTGAACTCCCAACTTCTGGGTCTGCAGTCAGACACCTAACTCATTGAGCTTTCCAGCTGATGATGTTTAAACTAGTCTTAAATTAGTGGTGGGTAAGGTCAAGAGATTAAAACAGAAGAACAAAAATACTTTTGATCTGTTTCTTTCTGCAGTTCTCTGTTGAGTTCATCAATGCGCTGCTGCAATTTCTTCCGCCTTTGTTCTGGTGGCAGATGGCTGAAATCTTCCTGTGCAGGGCCCTGAAACCAAGAGAAATACAACCCTTAAAAATAAAACTGTGAACTTACTCTCTCTGCTGGCACACTTCATACAACCAATAGCACTTAGTCACTGAACAAAGCCACAGAATGAAAACTACTCCTCTTACAGCAGTGATGGCAAAGCTTTTTGAGCCCAGGTGCCCAAACTGCAACATAAAACCAACTTATTTATTCCAAATTGCCAACATTGCAATTGAACCTGAATATTGAAGTTTCAGTTTAGAAAAAAATGGCCCCTTCACTGCAAGGGTTAAATAAATGTCCGTCTCCCCCCCCCCCCCCAAGGGTCGGTATTAACACAGAAATACTTACCGGTCCTCCAATCCTCCGTTGGGCTAGCTGCCACTGCACCCCTCCTCTGGACACTGCACCAGCAGAGGGAAGTGCCGAAATCTGGGATCAAAGGACGGGTAAGTATTTCTCGATGGCGACTTATGGCTCACGTGCCCACAGAGAGGGCTCTGCATGCCAGCTGTGGCAGATATGCCATAGGTTTGCCATTGCTGTCCTACAGTAATGTTGAAAATCACAGCTCCAGAAAAATGCACCTTCTATCAAACTGCAATCTTGAGGGCCTGTTATTTACCCTTCCTGAATTAGATAGTTTAACTATATTAAAAAAAATTGTCACTTTTGCCTATTATGTAATTTAGAGGGAAAGGCAACTTGGTTTAGAGAGCTGGACTTGGAGGGGGACACACACATATCTGAGAGTAAGAATTCCAAATAGACATGGGACTTGTATTTCCTTTGGACAGCAACAAAAGCCTCTCAGGAACAATTGTGACCAAAAAGAGAAGTGAACAGAGGAGGTATCACTGCTTCATGCCCGTTACAGTGGGGTCTTGACTTGAGAACTTAATCCATATTGGAAGGCGGTTCTCAAGTCAAAATGTTCTTAACTCGGGCCGTTCTTAAGTCAAGACCCCACTGTATATGGCTTTTAAGAAGGAAGATGAAATTGTCCCTGTGGAGAATGGGAGTGGCAAAGTGGCATGGGATTCTCAGTGAGCAAGTAGCTCTTTGACAAGAAGCTCTACAAGGGACCAATGGGAAGTGAGACTACTCATCTTATAATTCACTGGAACCGCCAGACAGGTTTGCCACTCCTAGCTCCCACCCAGGTAAAGTTACATGGGAGTTCCAATGAATCATAAGATGGAATCTCTGGACAGAAGTAGAAGAATCTGACTGATCCCAAAAACAAACAAGCAATTCCCAAAAAGAAATTTGGGGACCAAAGAAAAAGTGGAAGCTTTGGAAGAAAAGACAGAAAGGCTAAGGCTAAATAATGTCATTATGATTTGAAAAACTCTTCACACTGCTCCTCTTTAATACTAGCAATTGAAACAGTTGCTTCAATTGTGTTAGTTGGCTTAAGTTACCAAAAAAAAAAGGTTTAAGCAAAATCTTGCAGAATTAAACCACTTGCAGTGATATGCATCCAAAACACAATGGGTTGGCACAGCACACACTGGGGTCCAACTAGAAAGGATATGGACACCCTGGAAAGGAGAGCAGGGGGAACAACCTCTTGTCTTTCACACTGTGTTTAGGCAGTTAATGTGCATCAAAATTAGGAACCTAAATGAATTAAGGATCACTTAAGACAGGATCTGAAATGTCTGCTTCAAAATGGCTACCAGATCTAGGGATAAGAGGGATCCTAATGAGCCTCAATCATAGCTCCCATCCTGCCCAAGGAACCATCTGAACCCTGATGACAGGAGAAAGATATTTTTGCACTAAGGAGAGAGCAAGCATTCCTGAGAGTAGCTCTCTATTTGCTGGCTGAATGTAGCAAAGAGCCAGCCTGACATTTCTATTAGCAAAATATTCCTATTGAGAAGGTCAATTTTTGTCAAACAATGTCTTCCAAATTCTTTCAGCATAAATAAAATTAAAATGAGCAAAATCTGGTCAGTCAGAATTTAAAATGTACAAAGGGAGTGTAGTGACATACATTCTTTAACCCTCTGCTCAAGTATGACTCCACAAAGAACCCATTTGCCAGCTTGCAGTGCTGAAGGCCTTCACTCAGCCCAATATAAGAAATCTCTCCCCCTGAAGGGTTTCTTCTGTCATGTCTGTCAGCTTTGAAGCAGACAGAAGCTGAGTGCAACATGGAAGACCCCTCCTACTTTCCTGTGAAGGGAATCGCCTTCTGCTGAGTTTCATAGCATGCCACCTGCTCCAAGGTCAAAGATCTCCACCTCTGCACTTTGAGACCTCCGGCTGACCCTCTTGCACAGTTGGCTATTAAGCCTTGTCAAAATTTGTACACCACTTAGCTACAAATTTATACACATTTTATTCACTCCGATTTCTCATTCCATTTCTAAACAAGAGATATTTGTGGTAAGACTCAAGAGCTATAAAGCAGAAACAGAAAATCTGGTAACAAGGGTATTTTTGCTTCTTTTGCACTGGATGTATTGCTATCCAGTTTACATGTGAGCCTACAATGAGTCTCAAAACATTGGATCAATTTACCCTTTAAAAGCATGACATACAGAGTTCCTTGCTGGAAACAACTCGCTTTGAAATGGATTCCTTTGTCAGGGCTCATCTGATAGGTAACACCGATTAAATTTATCTGCCTTGGCCTATTAGAGCAAGTTTGCAAAATCTTTAATCAATGGACCAGTTATAATCTTGTCTCTGCAAGTACAGTACTGAGATTCAAGATTATTCATTTCATCATCTTGCCACAGGAGACATCTAAAGAAACATAATGAATGCATGCCGTTTATGTATCACCCACCGCCTTGTCATTCCCTTGGATCCACATCTAAGAATTACAGTTAATATTCACTGGGAATCAATATCTAAATGCCTTTGGCTTTTGCCCACTAAAACATGCCAAACGCTACATAACTATGTGTGTCTCAAGGAAATGCTTAGAAGCTACAGGTTTACTCTGCTGTCCAAAGTCCTCCTGATACAGATTCTCCTGAATACAGATGCTCTTAGTATATTCAACACTAGATGAGTACTATCACAATCAACAGTTTCTTAGCTATAAACAGGGTGTTACAAAGACTCACAGATCCACCTACTTGAACACATGTAATTAACAATTTAATAAGTTAATTATAGCACCAATCAGCAATTACAAGGTAAAAAGGAATTCAGAAGTCTATGTGTTCACAGTTCGTGATCTGCGTAAGGAAGCTGTTTCAGCATGTAAACAATAAGGCCTTATTGACTTCATCTTCTTGTAAAATCTTAGACTAATCTTCTTTTCAGATCAGTAAGGATGCCAACATGCATTCCCTAAAAGTTGATCTTTCAGCTGAACTAATGCTGGAAGGCTCCTCTATAAATCTCCTTTAAAACTGCAAAGCTACGAAGTGCACAGAGCACAGAGTGCTGTCCTCTGAAGATGCCGGCCACAGAGACTGGCGAAACGTTAGGAAGAACAACCTTCAGAACACGGTCAAAGAGCCCGAAAAACCCACAACCACTACGAAGTGTTGTTGCTGTTTTACATTATATTATTCTAGCTCAAGCCTAGTGAGGTTCAGCATGATTTCAAAATTTATATCACTCAAGGCATATAGTTTTAAAAGAAAGAACGTCTGGTTCTTATGTGGGTTTTTTTTGTTGCTAAATATACTAGAGGCCACACTCAGCATATACAAAGGAAGAGCTATAAGCACAATCCAGCAGAAACAAATCTAAACTCCATTGAAATCACTGGGACGTAAACCTTGAACTGTAGACTTCAGTCCTACTGTAAATTTGCTAGAATACAACCTATGTTAAACCTTAATGACCTTAAAAACAATAACATAGACCATTTAGCAAAACAGATACAGTTGGTATCATTTATCACCAGTTTTGTTTTTTGTTTTTACTATGGCATCATACTCTTGTAGCACAATATATTATCTTTTAACTGAACACACTGCAAAATAAAATTCTGTCCAGAAATCATTACACTTTACTGTGCATTATGCCTAAGGACTAGCGGGGCCAGCTTATTTGTGAATGTTTCATGCCGTCCACACCAACTACAAAGAAAACATGAAGAATATTTTGAATCCTCCTCCATTTTCTTCTCCCATAGCCACCAACCATGTCTACCAAATATTTTTCATTTCAGTAAAACTATAGGAACAAGGTTGGTTCCTAATAAAGATGCACCGGCTTGTAGCTGAAACTAAAAAAGGGGACACACCAATATAGCCACTGGTTGATGTCATTCTTAGAGGAAATGATACATGCTGACACTCATAAATTTTATTCCAGTAATCACTACAAACTACACTCAAGACAATTTTTGCACTTCAGCTTGCATAACAGCACGATCTAACTAGACTTCTGTTCTTTTCTATTTAAATGTTGTTTTAAGACACATGTTTATTGGTTGTTGTTCTTGTTTAGTTGTGTCCGACTCTTCGTGACCCCATGGACCAGAGCACGCTAGGCCCTCCTGTCTTCCATTGCCTCCCGGTTGTAAATAGCACTAAGTTGTTGCAAATAGAAAAATGACTTTATTTGAAACTAAGCTGCCATTGTAAATAGCACTAAGTTGTTGTAAATGGAAAAAATGACTTTATTTGAAACTAAGCTGCCACAATTTAGATTTGACACAAAATTTTCCTTTCATATGACCACTCCATCAGACTGTATTTATGTAAAGATGATGCATCCTCAAAATTCAGCTTGAGAAAGATCAACAAATATTTTCTAGTGATAGGTTTTAATGACATATCTAGTTCACATACATTTTGTAAGCAAAATGGAGCTCTAAATTGAGACAATTTCCATTTTATTTTACTTATATCCTTAGTCTGCAAACAATCTGTATAATATAACTTGTGAAAATATCAAGAGTCTATTTTGTTTACATGAAGCAGAGATGGGTTATGAAATAAAGAATATGCACAGTGATCTGAATACATATCTCACCAACTGACTCAAGGCAACTATGAGATGGAGAAGCTATTTTTCATGCTGTCATTATGAAGCAG